TTTTTTTTTATAGTTGGTTGAACACGCTACACAAGGATGGACCTTGTTTTCGTGTATTGACGAATTATTTCTAAAGATCCCAAAAGAAGCGGGTAACGGGTGCTCCATTCTTGAGAAAATCAGGTGTGGTCATAGCCGGTCAAAAGTTAATCGAGATGTGTTATTACAGAAGGCGACCGTGTCTGTCACGGCCGAGAATCCATAAGTCTGCCGGGTGTCGTCTGCAGAGACGCCGTCGACCCAGTGGTATTGCAAGATGTCTTGCCAGACAGTTTGCATGTGTGAGCAAACGTTCCCGATATCGACTTGAGGATTTGCAAATCGTATCCGTTACCGTCGGCACTCCCGTGTCCTGGAACATAACTCGGTTTTCTACATAATGGTGCCACTTCACCCCTAGCATCCTCCTTAGAGCCTTTGTAATGCAAAAAAAAAAAAAAAACTAACATTACTAGGATTCCCGATCATGTTGACTAAGTGGATTTCAACATACCTTTCGAACCGGACTCAGAGAGTAGCTTTTAAAAGCACAATCTCAAACTCTGTTCACGTGAATTCTGGTGTTTCGCAAGGGAGCCACCTAGGAACCCTACTGTTTGGAATTTTCATAAATGACTTGCCTCAAGTAGTTCTCTCTTCTTATGTTATGATGTATGCTGACGACGTAAAACTTTGTTTGCCATTATCGAACCCCAATTTCCATGATCTCTTGCAAGCCGATCTGAACAACCTTCATTCTTGGTGCATCCAGAATTTGCTGTTTTTAAATAATTCGAAATGTAAATTGATGTCCTTTTATCGGAAGAGGCTTCTCCTCACGTCATATTCTATTGGGTCGAATGATCTTGAACGCATAAATTCCGTAACAGACCTTGGAGTGTTATTCAACCACAACTTAAACTTCCCTGATCACATTGGCACTATTGTTAGTAAAGCTAAAGGGGCTTTTGCCTTTGTTAAACGTTGGTCTAAGGAATTTGAGGATCCCTATACCACGAAACACTTATATATTTCCTTGGTTCGTCCAATTCTGGAATACAGCTCGTGTGTTTGGTCTCCTCAATATACCAATCACCAAGACCTTATCGAATCGGTACAGAAACAATTCCTTTCGTTTGCTTTACGTGGTTTAAACTGGGAAACACATCGTCACCTACCATCTTACGTGGATAGACTGCGACTACTGAACCTACCCTCCCTCAAGGAGGGTGTCATGTTCCTTCATAAATTAATAACTGGTCTTGCAAATTCAAGCTACCTATTGGGTCAAATACGGTTCTCCATCCCTTTAAGGTCTACTCGTTACTTTCGACCTATTGCCCTTGATATTTGTAAGACGTATTTTGAAGTACATGACCCATTTCGCGTTTTATGTTCGCAATATAACGAACTGTATTTTTTTGATATATTCTGAATGCTCTGTTTATTTAATTGTAAATTCTGTGCAAAATCGGTCATTTTTTAAAAATTTTATTGGCGATACGGATAGTCTCAGCCCAATTTGTTCATGTGATAGGGCAACGTTTAAACAACATGTGTGAATTTTTTCATCCAAAAATATTAAAAATTGAGTGAGATACAGGTAATCTCCGGCGGTGCCTCGAAGAAAACACGTTTTCCGGTGTACACGATAACTGGTCACAGAATCATCTGATTTGAAAAAATCAAATTGCATTAGTTAAAGGACAAGATTCCTCAGGTAAGGCTGTCGAGTTTTTATTTTTTTTTTTCACTTTTTTTTAAGGCACTTGAAAGTCAAAAACTCCGATTTTCGCCCAAAACGTCGAGTTATTTCTTGCTCTAAAAATAATACATTAAACAAAAAAAAACTCGACAGCGTTACCTGAGGAATCTGGTAGAGAAATACTGTGCAAAATCTCAAAACAATCCGTTCTACAGATTTTGCAGGATCGTGTACACCGACTTTGAAATGACAACTTTTCAGGTGAGCGTTTTAAAGTTTGGGACACCCAAAAATTCAATATAAAACGCGCTTACTTACCTAAGTTCGACTGCCCATAAGTTTGGAAGTTTTACATCGACCTAAAACTTTAACACAATATTCTCGAAATAATGTCCATTCAGAAAAAAAAATATAAAAAAAATGCCAAAAAAAAATTGTAATACTATGTATTTTTCTCAAGCATTTTCGACATTTTCAATAATGAAAAAAAAAATGATTAATAAAAATTTTGCCATGGCTTGACCTTTAGATTCCGTTAAGGCTTGCTCTTTCTTAAAGGGCGTCTGCACAACATATCGTCCCGATGACTCTATGTGTGTTGTTTTCGTGAAATTTTCTTCACAAATGTCGGACTCTAAGTCCTTCTTACTTTCTTCTTCCAACTCCCATGTCCTTTTACTCTATCGTGGGCGCAAATATCGTGTCACTTCCTTTTGATTTGGTGCATCCCGACACTATCCAACCAAAGTCTATGTTTTAACCAAGAAGACCGTCTATCTTTATTACTCCTTTCTAAAGAAATTTAGCATATAAATCGGCTCCTATAATTAAGTCCGACCTGGCTTGTTAAACTCGGGATCGGCTAACGGGTAGTTTTCCACCTCGTTTTATCAATGTTTAATAGGCGCATTGGCAACGCCTTCATTAATTTTGGGAGGAGAATTGCCTCCACTACTAACTCATTTTTTTTTTCGCTTAAAGACTTAATCTTCAGTTTTATTTTATGATTTGATATGCATTTTTTTATCGAGGAAACTCCACTAATCTCATTAAATTTTTTTATTTTGGGCAACTTGAGAATTTGTGAAGCTTCCTCCGATATTATCGTACTCAGTGTTCCACTATCAATCACTATCACTAGCTGATTTCACATGAATCAATGCTGTGGCCAATAAGGGTTGTTCCGTCGTCCTACACGTATTCACTTCTTCGCTTTTATTATTAATGTGAAGATGCGCGTGGTACGGTTTCTTGCAATTCAATGAAAGAATTTCATTAGTCCACTTTTTAATGCTTGAATGCTTCAGACACTTTAAACAAATATGTCTTTTTTTGCCCAGTCATTTCTTCCATGCCCTTAAATTTATAACACAGTGTTATATTATGGGTTGGTAAATTACAACAAGAACAATTTTCTTTGCTGCTTTTGCTTTGAAACTCTTTTCTCAAAGGTTTATTCTCCTGAGGAAAAGAGGAAATGGAGCTGAGTCTTTGCTCTAAAAACTCCATGACTTCAGAAAGTGCCTGAATTTCCTTTGTCCTTTTAACATGACTCTCATATAAATTTATAGAATCCTTGTTAAATTTTCGAAGTATTATGTGGGCAAAAACTGCATCCACATCTTCGGATAATTGTGCCACTAATTATACCCGTTACTCGTAGAGTAAAAGGGTATATTGTATTCGTGCAAAAGTATGTAACAGGTTGAAGGAAGTGTTTCCGACCCTGTAAAGTATATATATTCTTGTTCAGGATCACTAGCCCAGTCGATCTAGCCATGTCCGTCTGTCCGTCTCTCCGTCTGTCTGTCTGTCCGTATGAACGCTGAGATCTCGGAAACTATAAAAGCTAGAAGATTGGCAATTTGCATGTAGATTTTAGGAGTTCCTACGCAGCGCAAGTTTGTTTCAAAATGGTGCCACGCCCCCTCTGACGCCCACAAGCCACAAGCTGTGGCCACAGTTTTGATGCTATTATGAAAATTTTAATTGATATGTATTTGTTTCGTTACCTATCGATTGGCCTAATAAAAGTTTGCCGCGCCCACTCTAACGCCCAAAAACCCATTAAACGCTTAAGCCTGACTAGCGCCTACATTTCCGCCTTTCAATAGCGCCATCTAACGGATGACTTTGGAACTGCTGACCAAGGTGCTAATTCGAGCGGCGAAAAACATACAAGAAGGCATATTTATATTAAGTTGTTTAGCTGAGTAACGGGTATTTAATAGTCGAGGCACTCGACTATAGCGTTCTCTCTTGTTTTATAATATAAATGGACTCATTAATTGTGGCAATAAATGTCTTAATTTGCTTATTGGAGTCCAAATTTAGATTTGGTTAATCCATAAGCCTATTCAATTTCCAAAATCTTTCCAAGTCCTTGCACTCCATCGTGGTCGCAACTATTGTGTTACTTCCCTTGATTTGGTGCATCCAGATACTATCCATCCAAAGTCTATGTTTTGACCAAAAAGACGGCCTATCTTTATTACTCCTTTCTAAAGAATTTTAGCAAATAAATCGGATCCTATAATATAGCGATCTTTTGCTGTTTTAAAAAACAGAATCTTTAAGGTGCTTTCTAAAACAAATGAGACGCTTTGTATATCTATATGCTTTTTTTGTTCAACACTTTTGTCTCTTAACAATGGTGGGATAAAACAGTCGTGTAAATCTATATGCAACATATAGCTGCAAGTGTATAGCACTTGACAGAATCTTTATGGTGCACAATTTCTCTAAGTTTCTTACCACTGCACAGTGGTTCGGCTTGTATGGAGCCGCGGCCAAAAATACTTCTAGTTGTTATATTGTAACCAAATTTTCCCCAAAATTAAAAAAAGATATTATAAATATATCTTATAAAAAATGGACCATATTGTACGACTGTATGATATAGCTGCTATAGGAATGATCGGTTATAAATACAAATTTATTATAAAAAATTTATTTTCAAAGATATGTTCTCTAAAGTCCCAGAAATGGTAAAATGTGAACTTTAAAAAATAAGAAGTCGTGTTAGCATATTAACGATTACAAATACATCCGAAACCTTCCACACAACATTAGTTGTGTGGGAACGCAAAGAACACGAAGAACATTGATATCTGCACTTTTCGCATTTGTCACAACAAAGCCATTGTCCATTTATTAAAATTGACATTATAAAATCTATCTGAGTAAAACAAGGTTTTTCATAAATACAAAATACACTCTTAACTGAGAAAATAAATTAATCAACAGACACTATCTGTAACGCAAAAAAGTTCACCATAAAATTTATCTAATTTAATTTAAATGTTTATATTTACAGTTACCACTTTCACGATGTCTAAACCCTTTTTCAAAACTCATTTTATTATTACCATTCTTGTTCTGTGCATAACATCTGCTTTATGCCTAAGCGCATTAAACGACCCTTATACTATATTGGGAATAAATAACATTGCTACTGCACAGGAAATAAAAAAGGCATACAAACAGTTGGCAAAGGAGTGGTAAGTCTATCAAAAAAATATATAACAAGAAAGAAAAGCTAACTTCCTGTAGGATATAGTCGAGCGATCCTTATGAAATTTGGTAGGTCGAATTGACCAAAAATAAAACCCATAGAAAATCCCATCTTCCTAACTTTACAAACACCAATGTTATGGCATTTCGGATCGTTCAGTTATATGGCAGCTAAAGGATGTAGTCGGCCGATCCTTTTGAAATTTGGTAGGCCGGATTGATTGGCTCAAAATAAAACCCATAGATAATCCCAACTTCCTAACTTTAAAAACACCAAAGTTATGGCATTTTCAATCGTTCAGTTATATGGCAGCAATAAGATATAGTCGGCCGATCCTTATGAAATTTGGTAGGTCGGATTGATTGGCCAAAAATAAAACCCAAAGAGAATCCCATCTTCCTAACTTTACAAACACCAAAGTTATGGCATTTCCGATCGTTCAGTTATATGGCAGCTATAGGATATAGTCGGCCGATCCCGGCCGCTCCGACTTATATACTGCGTGCAAAGGAAAGAAGGGCGTATGCAAAGTTTCAATTCGATATCTTTAAAACTGAGAGACTAGTTTGCGTAGAAACAGACAGACGGACATGCTTATATCAAAGACCAATATAATTACTAAGATGCGTAACGCCCATACATTGGTTTTGCAATATGCAGCTCGTTTTTTGGTGGCGACGAAAATTCCGCTCTTTCCGCTCGCACAAAGTTGAGAGCGTAAAAGTCTAAAAATAGAATTGCACGAATAAGGAAGTGCGTATGTGTGCGTATTTGTTCGAGAAGACGATTTTCGTCCAGAAATCATTTCTGGACTAAGAAACTAATTGTGTGTCAAAAGAACTTCTATGATTGAACAGGATGATTATTTAAATTGCATTTATGTATATATGGCAATGAAGCTTGATGTTAAACTTTTTTATATACCTTAAAAATTAATATCTGCATATTTAATTCAAAGTTTCGTTTTACATATTTAAATTAAAGCTAAAATCATAACTTTTAATACAAAACATATAAAACTGCTTGATTAAATTTAAAAATATTTCAATAAAGTTTTATAGGTTTGAATATACTATGATTGTTAAACAAAAACAAAGCGAACTATATTTAAATTGAATATATTTAAAGGATATTTAATTAAATATATTTCGCTTTTTTTTTATCCATGGCTGTTTTTATTAATTTTAAAATGGAAATATTAAATTTAATTTTTATTCAAATATATTAAACTTTGATCTAATGACTTAAAAAATTTTAAGTAAATACGAATAACATCATATCTAATATTATCAACCTGCATTTAAATCTATTCTTATTTACTCAAGCAGTTTTATATGTTTTGTGTTAAAACGTATGTTTTTATAATTAATTTAAATATATAAAACGAAACATTTAATTTAATATGCAGATATTCATTTTTATTTATCCATCGTTTTTTTGTATACCTAATAAATATTTAAAGCTAATTTTATTATTTTATAAAAAGTTAAACTATTTATAATAACACGAATTGAATGCTTAATTATAAAACTAAGCTACAGGATATCCTATTTATATTTAATACTAGCAAGGTAGCCCGCAGCTTCGCCTGCGGAAATTAAGATTAGCAATTTCCTAACTATATCGCTTAAAACTATACTTTTGATTAACTTTTTTATTTGCTACTTTATTCAAACTAAAACCATTCCACATTTCCACACCACCATAGAGGTAGAGGTTTTGGCGCGTTTTTTTTTTTGTGGTTTCCCCATGAGGCCTATTCCACAGTGCATTTTAATTAGAAATGTTCAACATTTTTGCAAGACTTCTCTATAAACGATATTTTTTGATTTTCCTTCTGGCGCTAAAATAATTAAAGACTCAGAGGAGCTAACTCTTGAACAGGCCACATAAAACTGACCATGAGAGAAGCAATCGTCCCTTAAATCTAGTCCAGCTAGTTTTAAGGTCTGACCTTGCGATTTATTTATCGTTATTGCAAAGCAAACTTTTACAGGGAACTGAAGTCTTTTAAACTGAAACGGTAGATTTGATGGTATTAGGGGTATTCGTGGTATAAAAACAATTTCTCCTTTGGCACAGCCAGTAAAAACCACAGCTTCGATTAAATTGTTATGAAGAGCTTTTACTTGCAATCTTGTACCGTTACATAGTTTTGGAGGTCTTAAATTTCTCAACAGCATAATTGGTGCACCAATCTTAAGCTTTAGAATGTGTAAGGGAAGTCCAGGTGGATTTTGTTGGTTGAGAAATTCAACCGGAAAATGAACTGCTTCATCAACTTCAGTGACTGAATCAATAGACTTATACGTAACTTCAATACCATCAAATGATTTTAACAGTATGTTATTTATTACCACAGCTCTATCATTTCTAGCAGTTAATATTGCTCTCTCCGAAAACCAATCTAATGATTTGGTTGAGATTTTTGAAATTTCCGGAAATGTATTTGATGTGAGCTCCTCAAGGGAAGTTACAACAGTTCCTAAACCTGAAGGAATAATTATTTTTCCTTCGACAGTTGGAAAAAGACCGTCTCCAATTCTCAATAATGTATGTGCAAAAATTCCAGCAGTTGTATCGCCCTTTAAATGCACACGCATGTTTTTTGTTAGGGACAATTTTTGAGTAGTAGGCCAAAGAAATGATGATTTTAAGCAGGCTTGTATTTCATCTGCCCTTGTTCCTCGAGGAACTACAGGAAGCGTTTGACGAAAATCTCCAGATAATAAAACCGTCATACCTCCCATTAGAAAATCATTACCACGAATATCTTTCAACATTCTATCCAACGCTTCAAAAGCACTCTTATGAGCCATTGTGCATTCATCCCAAACAGTAAGTCTACATTCTTGAAAAACCAATGCCATATTACACCGTTTAGATATTGAGCAACATGGTGTTTCTACATTTATTAAATCCAATGGAAGTTTAAACACAGAGTGGGCTGTGCGTCCCCCATTTAACAGCGTAGCAGCTATACCTGAAGAAGCAACAGCCAATGCTACATTATTATTATGTCGTAATTTTGCTAACAACAAATTCAATAAAAATGTCTTGCCTGTGCCACCGGGGGCATCCAAAAAAAATATTTCACCGTTTTCATTTTGAACACTTTGTAATATTTTTTGAAATGCCATTCTTTGCTCATCGTTAAGGGAATTTTCGTCTTTACTTAATTCGAATTCATTAATATTGTAATTTATTTCGTTTAAATATTCCCTATTTTGAAGTGGTCTACTAACTCTAATCGGTTCGGGCAAACCATAGTCTAATAGACACGTACCTCCAATGGACAGTGTTATATCTTCGATTAAAATAAGACATTTATTAAACACTCTATCCAGTAGATCTTGATTGACTTCTGCCACTATTAGAGAAAACTCGTACAAAATGTCTTCTGAAAAGCTTTCTTTATACATTTCCCAAAGATGTGCGGCATCAGCCATTTGACAATTTACTAACATCACCGCAAATAAATCACGTAATTGAATTGGCGATTTACATAAAGCTGCTTCCTTTAGGGTATATTCCCAGTGTGTGTCATCTTCTAGTAAGCCCAAAGCCTTACATGCCAATTGAAATGTAGCATACGTAATGTTATTAACTGTTTTAAGAAATAAGAATGAGGTTGGTCCCCGCACTTCATGAAGAAGTAGTCTTAGGTAATAGCATTCACTATTTTTAGGGTGTATGGTATACACTCGACCTAAAACATCATCCATTCTAATTCCAGGAAAACCAGGTACAATATTACCTCTCTTTCTCCTTTGGAACTTTTTATTGTTCCACGTGAAATAGGAAGGTACTTCAACATAAAGAAGGGTCCTTGCAAATGAATCCGTTTTACAAAGTTCGAAAAACCCAGTCAGTGTCGTTATTGAAGCGTTGGTTAACTGGTTAACTAATTGATTTTGATTATTAGGATCAAAATATATCCGTTGACCATTTTCAATGGTACAATTGCCGGATACCTTTCATGTATGGGGAATGCAAGAATTCTCCACACTGCTTCAGAACTACTGATATATCGACCGCTTCGATATAGTTGAACCTCATTAGTAGGGCTTTCCACAGTAAATGTAGCTTGATCACTGCCCTTATTGATGTATTTGCAAACGTATTTAATGGATTTAATTGAACTACAGAGCTCTACATTAATATGAGCCTCAAACGTCCGCAGGAGAACACAATTATAGGGCACTACCCACCTATTGTCAATTATGTTTCCATTAATTTCCATGGTGAAGCCACCATCTTCAGGTGCTCTTCGCCTATATTTAGGGTAACCATCTTTTCCAGTAACAGTTTCACTAAGCAACGATCGCGGAAACTTTTTGGAACAATTACCCTCGTTCATACAGGGCGATTTTAGGTTTAAGCGGCCACATGGTCCATGAATCATATTAGCCTTAACAATCTCATATAGGAGAGGATCCTTTTCAGAATCTGGAATTTCTGCACATATAATTGAATCAATTTGTTGAGGCGTGATCTTAGACTTTAACCAAATCAGTATATGTGCATGTGTGGAGACCACGTTTCTGCCACTCTATCGTATACATAAAGCATTGCACTTCCCCAAACAAACTATGACTATTAATTAAAGACATTATAGCTTTGACCTTTAAGTGAAAGACTCGAGCAATGATATCATGCCGATCGTGAGGCTTCTGCCCTAAAAATAGTGCACTTTTAATTTCTTTCCATTTAGGATTACAGGTAAATGTAATAAAAAGATCAGGACGACCATAATAACGAACATATGTCATGGCATCTTGAGTTTTTTCGTGCATGTACCGTGGCGAGCCAGTAAAGGATGAAGGTAAAATTACCATCTGTCCAAACTGTGCTAAATCCTATAGCATCTTGAAGATGTATGTAGCTTTCTGCTCTCAGCTTTTTTTGATTTAGCCGAATAAAATTAAGCCTTTCTGTTTCTATTTTAGCATACATATCAACCAAAAATTGACTAAAGAGAGCTCT